AAATCAATTTGTAAACCTGAAAATAAAACAGCACCCTTCAAAGCTTTTGATTTGACTCAAGATCACAGTTGATGTTGATTGTTTTTTTGGAGAAATTAAAAAAGGTAAGTATCATCTTTCAGCTGGGTTTAATCAAGCAATCCAATTTTCTTGAAGGCTTTCTAAGTACTTCAGTTGATCCATCACAGAAACTGTTTGCAGATGATTATTGAATTTCTACTGTCTTCAGATTCATGATTACATTTTTTGTTAATTTTCCAATTGGAGTCACCTGGATTCAAATCACTCACCTGTATTCTTTCATTGCAAGATAATGTATTGATTTTAAAGTTTGACTCACAACTGATGGTGATCTCAAGTATGCTTGATCTTGAGGTTTTATTCCAAAATCTATGTCACATCATAGTCAATCACTATCCTCAACTTTGAACAGTCACTTTCATCCATTTGTCTTGAACAAATTGATCAGAACATCTGATTGGGGAAGGTATGTTCTTTCATATTCATTGACTGTCTAGCTTTTGCTAAAAAAAACTTACAATACCTTCTGATTGATTTTCAATCTCCGTAGAATCTTCAGATCAGTTATGTCATTAAAATTGCCTTGATTCCAAACCAATCGCCTCCAAATATAACATTAAATTGGAATGTCTCATTTCCTCTTCACATATTTCAAGAATTTCCAAGAAAAATCAGAATTGATTGGGTGATTCTAGATCACTTTTTAGTAGCAGAAAAGTCGGGGTGACTCAGTTACATTTCAATAGTGAACTTGTGACTTCATCTGGAGTCTATGTATATGCTACTTCAAAACAAAAATTCTATTTGAAAGTGGGTCAATAACTATTTGATCTCACTTTAAATAAAACTACACTCAATGGGGTCGGAATTAGATCTATAACTGTGAGTGAAGGTCATCAATCAAAGTGTGATGTTGAAAATTGTCGGACTAATACAATGAAATAAAAGCCCAAGCTTTGTGAATTTTGGCTGGAAAAGATTATTTAATGCTATTAAACTTTTATCTGTAGAAAATGGTTTAAATAATAATAGTGAAAAGAAATGGATATTATCAAAGTTTGTAAAATGTGTTTTGATGAAGAAAGAATCAAGGATCATGAAATTATGGGAAAAGAGTTGGGAATTGATGGGAATGGGTTGAGTAAAGATGAAGTTTGTGCGGGTTCTAAAAATTGAGTTGGGTATTGGTGATAATTTAGAAAAAACAAAGATTAGTTTCTATGTATGATTATCAAGTTTTTATGTAAAGTTTGGAAGAGTTTATTAACTTTTTGAATTCTGATTATTCATTGCTGGGATTCTTTTTGGTTTTGTGACTAAAAAGATTTGATACATGTTATATACCTAAGTTGAAGAAGAAGCAGAAAAAGGAAAAAAGATAACTAAAAGTACAGTAAACCCTGTACTATCTGGTACGCTTGGTGGGAGCACTTGGTATCAGGTTTAGCAGGCTACCAGGTAGCAGAGGACCAGTTAGTACAGGAGTCACTGCATCAAAGGAAAAAATGTAGATACAAGTCACTGCCAACAAAGATGCCTCGGATTGGAGAATCTTCAGATGGCATCAGCCTCAGACACAGGTTCCAAGTAAGTGGTCTTGGCAAACTTTGAGCCAAAGGAAGCTTTGCATTGATTGCTTGGATACACAGTCCAAGGGAATTCACATCTGAGTATACCTTGGATATACCTCAGATTTCCAATCCGAGGTATCTTTGCCAGCAGTGAGCTGTAAATTTATTCTGGTGAAGTTACAAGGACAATGACAGACTCTTGATGGTTATTATTGATTTTGAATGTAGAATCCTTTAACCCAATTGGTATGCACACGTTGTTGTGTTTCTTGATGAGTGCCGTGTTTGTAAGTCATTTGGTTGCCATATACAGCATTCAATTGATGGTGACTATACAAAGATGGTCCATCCACAATGTGTTCATTCAAGTATAATAAGGTGGTTGTCTAATTTTGTAAGCCACTGTACCATCAGTGATGGACAAAGACCACTGTTTCAGGCACTGGTATCTACATAGGCAGGAATAATGATGCATCAGGCGGATGTGAGCTGTTGATGCGGCGCCCGCCGCCCAGTTGTGCTAGTAAATATGATTGATGAGATCTTTTTGGTGAGGAAGAAGAAAACCTTCTGAGTCGAACACAATCATATTATAAGTAGAAACATATCAGTGACGTAATTGTACATCATTTGGTCAGCAACATCAGTCAGCAGCACACAAATTCAGGACACACAGCAACACAGCATTTAATCAGGTCAGGTCAGTACATCAATGATCGAATCATAGCAACGGTGATTTGACATAATCATAACACTCCCCCTAAATCACAACGCGTCATATGTAGTTGAGTTAAAGCAGCTTGATGTTTGACACTCCCTAATGGTTTAGTTAAAACATCGGCTATCATATCTTCAGAAGCGACTTGATGAATTGACATAAGATTCTTCATAATGAGATCTCTGAGATATTGGTAGCGTACTTCGATATGTTTAGAGTTGGGATTTAATTGAGCTTCTTGACTAATTGTTACGGCACCGGTGTTGTCATTGATGAGTAGTGGTGGTTTCGAAATTTTCAGATTCAAACTCGTCATCAGAATTGACATCCAGCGTAGTTGCTTAGCACATTTGTTGGAGGAAATGTATTCGGCTTCAGTTGTTGATTGTGCGACGACGGATTGTTTCTTAGTAGTCCAGCAGATAGGATTGTTGTATAGTGTGAGAGTGAATCCGGAGGTTGACTTTTTGGTAACAAATGACGTGGCGTAATCGGCATCTGCCCAACCGCACAATTCTGGTTGATTATCAGTCGATGCAGTGTAGTGTAAACCCATTGATAATGTTCCTTTCAAATACCTGAATAGATGACAGATTGCGGACCAGTGAAATGTGTTGGGGTTAGTAGCAAACTGAGTGAGTAAATTGACAGTGAAGGTTAGATCTGGTCGAGTATGAAGAGCTAGATGATTGAACATGCCGAGAGCCTGTTGGCAGGTGAGTACTTTCACTGAATCTCCTTGACTTGCAACAAGAGCGTGAATATTCATTGGAGCAGGGGTTTTGATCGAATTGCAGTCGCTCATTTCGAAACGGTCAAGAGTCTTCTTAGCGAAGTCGGTTTGATGAAGTAGAATGGATCCATCCTTCTTCCAGTCAAGACTGTATCCGAGATGTTGAGTTGGCTTCTCTTTGATCTTCATGGTGAACGCTTTTTTCAAATCGGTGAAAAGTTGTTGAATTAGGCTTTTGTCTTTGCTTACAACAAATCCGTCATCAACGTGAATATGAAGAAACATCGTTTTGTCGTTGTTTACAAAGAGAGATTCGTCACCCTGGGACGATACCATACCAGCGGTAAGTAGCACCTCTACTAGCTTGGCTTTCCATCGTCGAGGAGCTTGTTTAGTTCCGTAGAGCGATTTGTACAACAACCAGACAAAATGTTCTCGTCCAATTTCTTCAAATCCACTTACTTGAGAGACGTAAATGGGAGCGTCGATAAGACCTTCTAAGAATGCTGTTTCAATATCAAATTGAAAAGCATAGTACCTGTTTTGAACGGTCAGAACGAGTAGGAGTTTAAAAGATTCATTACGAGCTACTGATGCGTAGGTTCGGAAGTAATGGATTCCTTCGTCTTGATCATTTCCTAAACACACCCATCTTGCTTTGAAACGAGAAGTTTCGCCAAATTCATTCAGCTTTTTCTTCAGGCGCCACATACCTCCAATGATTTTGTCGTGTGATGGCGGCGGGACAAGAGTACCAGTTTCTTTTGAGATTAAAGAGTTGAATTCACTCTGCATAGCTTCTTTCCATTTTGGAGCTTCATCAGGATTGTTCAAGGCGTTTCTCAGACTTACATCGATTGCTAGATGTACTTCGAGTTCTTCTTCGAGTTCTTCAGGAGGTTCAGGTTTTTGACGGCGAGTTGATTTCAAAATGTTGGAAGTGTCAATCTTTGATGAAATGTCTTTCGGCGCTTTGTCTTCATAAGGGATGTAAGTGTGATGTGATTTTTTCGAAGGGGCTTCAGTTGGCTTATCGAGTGGTGGAATGATCGGGGACTGGGCGGGTGAAGGCATTGCCGGGGTACTGGTAGCAGTAGCGGTAATTTGCTTCAAAGGTTTGAGATTTATGACCACATTTTCAGATTTGTAAGTTATTTTTCGATCTGGTAATGTTTCCACAGGTTTTTTTACTGATGATTCTGAAGTGTAAGGAAAATTCATGGGTGAAGGCGAGTAATCCCGACTTATCACTATATGGCAATTTTTGAGGTTTAGAAATCGAGCGGCGTCTGAGAATGGCTCGTAGCCGAGAAACAACATGGACACAGATGGGGGTTGAATTTTTGACTCATTTTGTTGTCGAACAAAAACTTTTAAACCGAACGGAATTAAATTGGTAAGCTTGCGAACCGGTTCAATACTGAGGTTAAGATCATTAAGTACACTGACCGGAGAAACCCATTTCAAAGGTTTAGAGGGAAGTATATTAATAAGTTGTGATGCATATCTTGCAGCTTCGTCCCAGAAGTTAGTTGGAACTGATGACTGAGCCAAGATACATCTCATCTTAACTAGTAAAGTCTGGTTAAATCGTTTGGCAAGACCATTTGTTTCTGGTGAGTTAGCCGGTCCTTGTTCAATTGATATACCCAACCTAGCGAATTCATTAATGAGAAATGTTGAAGTGAATTCACCGCCACGATCAGAGTGAAAGTACGCGGGGTTGGAGCCGGTTTTTGATTTTATTTCAGCCACGTAGTGTAGGATACGGTTAGGAGCTTCGGACTTCTTTTTTAGCAAATAGATCCGATTGAACCTTGAGAAATCATCGATCAAGACAAGAATATACTTGAAGCCTTGACCGGTAATTGGAGTGATTTGAAGGATATCAGAATGAATTTTTTCAAAAGGTTTGGATGCACTAGGAATAGGATTGGAATGAGGAGAGCGTTTCATTTTACAACGGAGACAAATGAGACATCCCGTACTGTCTATGACGGCTGACGAGTTGATGTTGTTCAGTTTGAGAAAATTTTTTAAGTAGATGTCCAAAGGATGGCCTAATATGATGTGCCAATCCTTTGGCTCGGCCAGATTTATTTCTTGAGCCATGTTCAAAGACGATGTGGTTCTTGAAACATACAAGTCACCTTCGCGGTAAAATCTAAAGATGATTTTTTCGCCAAGTCGGATTTGAACTTTTCGATGAGAATGAATAACGTTCATTCCATGATCTTCGAGTTGAGTTGTTGAGATCAGATTCCTTGGTCCGCTTTCAGAGTAATATACCGGATGAATGATAGTTCCTCCAAAATTAAGCTTTCCAACGTGTGAAATCGAAACGGCTCCTCCATAGGTATTGAGGGATTTGGTGATTGGAACTGGGTCAATAAGTAGTTCGAGATTGTTGACAGTGGATTTGGTGGCACCAGAATCGTAAACAAGTTGAAGTTTTTCTGCACCGAGATAGTTGACAGTGTCAGTGAGCATGAAACCAGTATCTTCAACATCTTCATCATGAGAGTCTCAAATGTGATCAGCGTGTTCATCGGAATCAGAGGAATCTTGAACGTGATGTGCTTCAGATGATTTGTGTTGAGATAAGTGTTGAGCAACGAGTCGGGCGACTTTTTCATCGATAGATTCAAAGTTCTTCACAAAAGGCTTTTTTGTTGTCACTATACTTTTAGGGTTAAAGGATTGAGAAGGAGATTTATAGGGTGGAGTAGATGTACTGGGCTTATCGACCTTCTTGCCTTTAACACGAGAAAAATTGATGACATCTGTTTCTTGTGAGTCGCGACGATTATGTTCCATAATCATTTTGTCGTAACAGGTTTCAAAGCTGAAAGGTTTAAGATCCCAAAAATTTTGAATTAGAGGAGTTAAGCTTTCGTCGTCATTAAAACTTAATAAGAAGAAAATCGCAGCAAGTTCAGTCGAAATAGTTAAGACTTGAGGAGTAGTGGAAGCCAATGAGGCAGAGATGGAAGTATATATTCCAGAGAATAGATCACAATGTTCTTGGATGGAACCTCCAGGAATATAGCAAACAGCCATCCAATTTTGCACCTTCATTCCGATCATTAGAATGGAGGATACACCACAGGATTTGGATAACGCAACGTAGGCGTCGTGAAAACTTTTGCTGTTTTTAAGCAAAATTGAGCGAAGTTCGAGTGAAACAGTTTCGAAGAGTTTGTTGATTGCCCAAGCGTTTTTGCGTTTGAAAGCGGGTTTGTCGGTGTTGGATTTGATCCATTTTTCATCCAAAAGATCGTCATAGCCTTTGGCGACGAGAATGTTTTCAAAACAAATCTGCCACTCATGCCAGTTCTTTCGAGTCAACTTGGTTATTTTGACTTTTGAAGAATGATGAGTATCGGAATCGGACGAAGAATCTTCATCTTTATCGGCTTTCTCAGTCTGTTTGCTTGAGAAAGTCGGCTGCGACATTTCGATTTAGTCCTAGAAACTACGAATGTTAAGAATTAAAATATAATTTGCCAAGAGGAGTCTCTTGCTACCATGTAGTAAATGGTGAGATCTCTCTTTATTTAGGTCAAATGTATATATTTAATTTCTTAAAAGTAAAAATAGAACGAAACATTTGATAAATGAAAAAGAGAAATTGAGTACCTTAACAAAAACTACACAGGTAGAGATTCAACTTATAACACGAGATTTAAATCAAACAAAGTAGCCAAAAAGGAGTCTACATTGATAGAGTGAAATTTAGAGTTAGATAAGAAGAAACCTCAATGATAACGATTTGTAATTATAAGAACATAATTGAAATTGATTATACCTCCTTCCTTTTGGCGAATTGTTCAAGTTTGATTTAGATTTGGTTTTGTAGTTGAAGGGGATTGTCGTGTAGTATTGAGCTTGTTAGGACTTAATCGAAAAGGTCACAACGTTTAGACGATCAAAAGAAACTGATGACAGAGAAAAAGATAAATATGATTGATGAGATCTTTTTGGTGAGGAAGAAGAAAACCTTCTGAGTCGAACACAATCATATTATAAGTAGAAACATATCAGTGACGTAATTGTACATCATTCGGTCAGCAACATCAGTCAGCAGCACACAAATTCAGGACACACAGCAACACAGCATTTAATCAGGTCAGGTCAGTACATCAATGATCGAATCATAGCAACGGTGATTTGACATAATCATAACATTTGCGGATGCCGATTACGCCAATGACATCAATGATCGTCGATCCGTCACTGGTTATTTGTTCACATTTGGTAACGCTATCATCTCTTGGAGAAGTCGTCGACAAAAATCCACTGCCCTCTCTACTACCGAGGCAGAATATATGTCAGTCTCTGATTGGGCGCGACAAGCTATTTGGTTCAAATTGTTGTTTCAAGACCTCAACATTCCTGTTTCAGCGGTTAGCATATCGTCTGTCGGTGATGCTATTCAACTCTTCAACGACAATCGCGGCACTGTATTATTATCAAAAGAACCCGTAATAAATGAAAGATCTAAGCACATTGACGTTAGATATCATTTCATTTGTGACCACATCAAATTGAAGAACATCGTGACTACTCATGTTTCAACAACTGCTACGCCGGCCGATTTTCTAACTAAACCTTTATCAATTGATGTTTTTGAGCGATGCTGTGGGCAGGTTTCTGTGTGTGACTGCACAAGTTAGGGGGGAATGTTGGTTGTAGTAGGATGAGCATTTGAGAGATGAAATATCTCAATTTGTCATGTTGTTCCTGATAGATCTGCTGATCTTAGCATTTGTATTTCCTCTTTCAATATTTGATTTTCTCTCTTACAGTTACTCGTATGTTTCTCTTAACTCTTAGCAGTGTCTTGTTTTTCTGTCTTTAAAAGCACCTATGAGTCTTCACAAGGGTTTGATCCTCATGTTTTCAAACCCTTTCTTCATCACTAAAGCAATCTCTTACTTACGATGTATTGCTTTTACCGTGATTGACTCTTAGGTAAGCTTTTCTCTTTTGTAGTTTTCTCTCATCATCATTTCTATCTTCACTGTACATGTTATGTGTGTTGTTTTCATGTTTGTGCTGTCAGAAATAAAGATGTTTTCAAACCCTTTCTTCATCACTAAAGCAATCTCTTACTTACGACATATTGCTTTTACCGTGATTGACTCATAGGGAGGAGCAGCTATGGGGATTGAAACTAGAAGTCATCAGACACGTAATTCACTGCGACCAACTCAGCATCTCCCTTTCAGAAGAAAAACACTCGACATTGGTAGCTGAACTACAATATTTCGCGAGCAGCAGATCACAGCCGCTAGTCGAGTGGCAGCGCCTAACGGGCTGGGCCAACTGGGCGCTAAATGTGTTCCCCTTGGGCAGATGGTCATTACAGTCGTCGTGGGACAAGATCACGGGAAAAAATCTGAGAAACGCCGGAGTCCCTCTGAATAAATCAACCAAAGATGACCTTCTTTGGCTCGCGGAAGCTTTTCAACACTGGGACGGCAGGATGATACTAAACTCATTACATTGGGAACTGGGCTCAGCCGACAGGACTTATTTCTGTGATGCCTGCACGACCGGCATTGGAGTTTGGGAACCGTTCGCGGGTCAAATGTGGAGTCTCAAAATTCCGCCACCCGCTCGAGCAATCTATTGGGCAGAGCTTCTCGCGGTTCTCACAGCAATAGACCTATCAATCCAACACAAACCCAGAAGGGTGCTGATCTTCACGGACTCGGAATCAGTTTGCTACTTTTTCTCTTTGCATAACGCAATTAGTTCAATAAGACCACTCTTCAAGCACGTGGTTACGGCCCTGCTCAAGAACTCCATCGATGTCAAGGTGAGACATGTCTCAGGCGACAGAAACGTCATCACCGACGCTCTATCGCGGGCCTCTCTAAAGGGCATCAGAAAACTCCTCCCAAAGTCATCTCACATTAACCTCCCATCCATCCCTCAACACCTCGATGAAGGAGTAAAAAATTAATCTTCTCAAAAATCGCACAAAAAAAATTTTCTTTCGTTTTTCTTTCATCTTGTCTTTCATCCAACATGCCGCCGAAACCAAAAACCACAGAAACTTTCAGATCCTTTGAAAATTGCGAAGCTTTGAACGCCGAAGACATTAGCAACCACCTCGAACCCGCTTCCAAAAAGAAATACGAATGTGGCACTAAAAAATTTGCACAATTCTGCAAAGATCACAATAGACCCCTCGACCCAAATGAAGAAAACTTAGCACATGTTATCACCGTCACAGCCAGAAAAATCAAACCCGGTACCGTTAAAAAATACTTGACCGGAATTTCATACGTTTATCGTAAACAGTTCCCAATGGTCGACATCGCACGCTCATCCGAACAAATTAAAAGCACCGTGCGAGGAGTCAAAAAAATGTTTTCAGTCGCGACCAAACAAGCCCCAGCTTTCACCTTAATCAACATGCACCTCGCTTACCAATCATTCGACTCATCCTTCAATGACTTACTCTTCCGAGCCATCCTCGGCCTTGGATTTTTCGGCCTGCATCATCTTGGCAAATTGGTAGTCCCAGATCAAATATTGCTTAGAAATCCAAGAAAGTGATCAGACGCTCTTCCCTTATCATATCGACGTGCGGCAGAGCTGCCTCATATAACCTCCCGTATCACAAAGGCAACCCACTTTACAAAGGCAGCCCAGTGGTCATCATCCGCTGCGAAAACAGCGCCATCTGCCCAATTTCCGCCCTGACTACGTACGTCGTCAACCGCGACAAACGCTTTCCATCACACCTGTTCCTGCTCGTGCGAGCCAACGGATCTCTGCCAGCACGCTCCTGGTTCATATCACAAATGCAATCCGTCTTCAACACCACGCGCTCAGGACATTCGCTATGAGCCGGTGGAGCGACGGCGCTATCTCAAGCCGGCATGCCGCTGGATTCGATTCAAGCAATGGGAAGGTGGTCCTTGGAGGCTTTCAAGCTTTACATCAGGTGCCACCCAGCGCTGAACATGCAAGTTCGCGAAACCCACATGCCTGTGATCGGCGAGACGTTGGGGGAGCAGTTAATCTTCCCAGGGGTTGCTCCCGTAAGTCCAAATCAAATCTATGATTCATTCCTCGTCAGTATGCGTCCTGACTCGTAACCAATCTACACAGTCAATGTTAGAACAGTTTCAATCACACGCACGCAGACACACGGTGGCACCAGCCGTAGTCAGCTCAGGTACGTAACTGCTCCACAAAAGCACGTCGTCAGCAGCTAACGAGTCTTGTTCTTCGAACACAGTCTCCTCGAACACGTTCCCATCAAGTTCACGAGACGCCACAGGCGACCTCATGCTTCCAGCCCAGGTAAGCCTACAGTCTTTGACGGTAGTAGCCACACCGGCTGACGATTCTGATCCTACAGGAACAGTTTCAGTTCAAGCGCCGTGCGCCGCCCTGGAAGCCCTACAGCAGGTTATCCATACACTAGTGAGCCCAATTCCAGTGGAAAAGGGTATAACTAATCGCTGACAAGTATTACATCCAATTGTCGCAGGATGATCCTTTTCAAAAAACAACCAAAGAGAGACGTCCGACCACTGCGACTTTGTCGCTCATCAAAATCTTATCTCTACCATCACCATCACCCTTTATATACAAGGGTGGTCGTGCCGTCTTTTTTCCTTTTTCTCCCTGCCTATCTGGTTGCGTTTGTGGGGGAAATGAATTCCGGGCCCAGGCCCACTTTGGTAGCCACTCTTGCACCTTGCCACACCGCGCCAAACCCATTCCTTGGAAGTTGGCTCACAGAGTTGACTAAAGGGAATGGGTGAAGGCGTGGGTCATCCAAGCAAGAAGTGCAATTGGCTCCACCAAGGAAACAGCGGGATCGTGTCACGACTCGCAAATGAGCTCCATTAGAATTTGGGACGCAGCTCCGATGGGGTTCTTTCAAACCCCCTCTCTCTTTTGATCCAGTCTCGATTCCGTTTGTCCCAGAAAATTAACAAATCTTTTTACAAAAAATTGTTTCAACTTTCCTCTTCAAATTTCCACTCAAAAAATACGTCTAAATACAGTATAGCAGAAGTTTCATCCAAGTTCTTCAATACATCTAATACTGAAAAAAAAAATTATTGCCCGCCCGCCTACACCCTTAGCAACAAAATGTAGAAATAGTCATAAACCGCCCTCATGTGTTGTCTTTTTTCCTTTTTCTCCCTGCTTATCTGGTTGCGTTTGTGGGGGAAATGAATTCCGGGCCCAGGCCCACTTTGGTAGCCACTCTTGCACCTTGCCACACCGCGCCAAACCCATTCCCTTGGGTTTGAAAATCATAAAGGGTATTGGGAAGATCAGTGTAATTGAAGTAGTGTTATTTGGGTTATCTATTCTTAAGATGTGATCCTTTACTGATTCATTACTCATCTCAAATCAATGATGTCATCATCTTAATCATCTTATGATATCATCTTTGTTTTCGTTATGGTTATGCTATGTTTCCTTGTTGACCGTTTGTTGGTATAAATTGGTGTTGCTTTGCTCTACTTTTTGTTTCTCTTTCTTCACCGATTTCTACCTTTACTTCGAGCAGGTATTTACTGCTCTCATCGGTCATAGAGATTGTTATCTCTTCTTTAGCTAACATTAGCATTCCCTCAGCTTTTTAGCCAACTCGCAATTAGTGTGAATTGGAATGGAAAGTGGAGATTGTGTGTGTGGTTCAACAGTTTGGGAAAATGGAATCTTCATCATTTAAGTTCTAGAGTATAATTTCTAATTTCCAATTTCCAAGTGATCAAGTTTTTTTTGGATCCCGGTATCCCCACCACCCCCTCCCTATCACAGCTAGTGAAAGCATTACTTACCAGTGACACAAGCTGTGACAGTATTGTCCAGCCGCACTGAAAGGTCTCTGGATTTTGTTTTCTCAAGTTTGCTCGGTATGAATAGCACTTAAAACAATTTTAAAGCACACATCAGCTAATCAACCTTCCCAAAAGCATTTAGCTTCTACTGGTTCACTACCTCCTCATGAATCAAAATTTTGATACCAACTTCTAGAGAATTTGATGCGACTACTAGTTTGGGTTACTAATTTCCTTGGT